AAGGGTGACGGAAACCGTCTAAAGGCCACCGCCCGCAGACGTCGAAGCGGATGGGTCTTGGGAAGGCTTCGCAGCCGTACCCAGAATGTCGTTGATTTTCTGTCGTACCTCTCTTGCGCCGATTGTATGCTTGCCTCCGCTTCAGCGACCGCCGTGGCCACCGTGTTGAAGGTTCCCACGATCGCTTGGGCGCCAATCCTCTGCACTCGGTTGATCACCCTCATCTGCGCTGCTCGACACCTGTACCTCCAGACGTTCGACGCGTAGTCCATCGTCGGTGCTACGGCCGCCACGAAAAGCTGTCTGGCCGTCGCCGGAGACAGGCCTTTGAGCCGTTTGAGCCCCAGCACGGCCTCCAGCCCTTTTGTCGTCGCGTCTGCGATGTGCTTTTCGAAACGGAGTTTCGTGTCCATCATCACTCCCAATACTTTGACGTGGTCCTTTGCTCGGACAGTGTCACCTTTGATGACGAAGCTGGTTGAGTCCGCCGGCAGCCTCCAGTTGCGCGTGAAGTGGATGATGGCCGTCTTGTCCGTCTCGAACGTCGCCCCGCTTCGTCGTTCCCACGCGAGTGCTCGATCGATAATATCTTGGATGCCCTGACGGTTTGCTTCGCGCGATCGGCCTGTGACCCACGCCGTGTAGTCATCGACGAAGGCCAGCGCGCCCCCGTTCTCGTCGATTTGGTGCTGTACGAGATCGGCGTTGAAGAAGAGGAAGAGCACGGGCGAAAGCGGCGAACCCTGAGGCAGTCCGGCTTGTGGTAGCGGACGAGCCTCGGACTCGTGACCGTTAACCAGGATGCTTGCCGTTCTATGGGAGCAGAAGGCGTCCACCCATCTCACCAGCTTGTCCGGGATCCCCCGCGCTCTGAGTCTTTGAAGTAGTCTCTCTTTGTACACACCATTGTATGCTCCCTTGACATCGAAGCTGACCAGACTGACCACCTTTCTCTTTCTCCACGCTCTGTAGATGTACTCCTGCAGCAGTACCAGCGCCTGCTCTGCCGACCTCTGCTTGCGAGCGCCAAAGTGGCTCGTGGGAAGGAGGCCGAACGTCTCGACAGCGTGCGAGATACGTTCTGCCAGGACCGACTCCAGCACTTTTCCGAGCGTCGAGAGAAGCGAGATCGGTCGCCAGGCCTTCGCTATACCGTAGTCGCTTTTGTTTGGCTTCTTCAGCGGGATGATCTTTGCGTGTCGCCACTGCCTCGGCAACACCCCTTCATCCAGTGAGGTCTGGAAGAGTGTAAGCACCCTCTCCTTCACCACTGGCCACGTGTGCTTCCACACTGCCACCGGCAGACCGTCCTCTCCGGGTGCTTTCCACGACTTTGCCGCAAAGAGCTGTCTCTCTACTTCTCCCAGTGTGAGGTTAGGGAAGGGTACCGGCGATCGTTGTGGCCGATCCCCCTCCTCCTCGATCATGCTGGGGAGAGGAGGGAAAAATGTGGAGAGCAGCTCTTCGGCCTGTTCTGCGGCGTCTCCCGTTTGGGAACCATCCGCCCTTTTAAGTTGAGGTATCTTGTCGAAAGATGCCCCTTTACTGGCGTCGAGATACTTCGCGGCCTTCCAGATATTGGCGTCGTCGGCCAGAAAGTCCTCCCAATGGCTCTTCTTCTGTTGTCGGATGGCATCGTGATATTGCTTGGCTGCCGAGCGTGCGCGTTGCTCCAGTTCAGGTTGACTGTTACCTGCCCTTCTCTCCGCTCTCGCCCGGTTTCTCCAGTGGGTATGGATCTGCCGGAGCTGGGTGAGGTCAGCCGTCCACCATCTCTTTGCATACGGTGATGGCTTGGCCGTAGGTGTCAGTGCCTCTACTGCCTCGCACACCACAGACATCAGTCGATCCGTCTGTTGCTGCACCGTACCTCCTGTTGGCATTCGCCCTAGGTTTGCTTCTACTCTCTCATTGATTTGCTTCCATGGGGCGTTCTTGAGGAGGAGCCGTGGCCGGCTTTCCATCTCAGGCGCGGCGATGTCGAAGGTCGTCTCGATCGCCCGGTGGTCCGACCCGTGGTCCGTCTCGTGCAGGCCGCATCGTACCACCGTTCTTGCTAGCTCTTCGGACGCGAGGGATAGGTCGATCGTCGTTGCCGCATCGTTCTTCTCCCACGTCTTCGTGCCACGCGGAAGGAGGCTGCGGAGCGAGTACTCGCTCATTAGATCGATGATCGGGTCCGCCTCGCCCTGCCGGCCCTCCGACACATCGTCACCTCCCCACAGGTAGTCGTGGCAGTTGAAGTCTCCTACCAGAACCACGTCCACCCTCTCCCCTGTTCCTCCTCGGACATTCGTGATAGCTTGTCTCAGCAGGTCGCACGCCTGCCGCAGCATCTCCGGCCTCTGCACCGGCACGTACACCGACGCCACTATCAGTCTTCGATCCGGAAGCCGGACGATGGCCGCAGTGATATCCGAGGACGCTATCGGCAGCTGCTCTGTCTCTACGTCTCTGTTCACCCAAAGCAAACTCCTGATTCCCCATCTTCCTTCGTCCCTCCACTCCGTTGGTACCATCCTCGTCCACCTGCTATTGCCCATCGGAACCGTAATGACCTTACCTTCTATCCTCCGCGCCCATGGCTCCTGCACCGCTATGGCCGTGAAGTCGCGCAACGCCTCATCATTCATCAGACTTTCGTGCACTGCAGCCTGTTTCCTCACGTTGAGCTGAAGGATCTGGACCTTCCTACTCATGGGAACGCGGATACAGCTTCGGACAGTTCTTGCTGAACGACTCGTGCGGTCCGCCACAGGGCACACATGTCACGATCGTCTCACGGCATTCAGAGTGGTGGTGGCCTACCTTGGCGCATCGTCCACACACCCGGGGGTTTACGCACTGGTACGCCTTGTGCTTCGTGATCTGCTGGCAGTTGTAGCACTGCTGGGGGCGCGGCCGCCGTTCAAACGCCATCGTCGTGCCGGACTCTCCTCCAACGTGGAAGAAGCCCTCGGAGATCAGTCTACGCGCATCACCGGCCTTGGTCACGAACACGACCATGGACCCATACGCCTTGGGTATCTCTTTCTTGCTAAGCCAAGAAATCTTGGCAACCGTGGTCTCGTTTTCTCGGCTAAGTGCCTCCGCCGCTTCAGCCCTGACATTGCCCTTCTCATCCAGTACCTCAATTCGCTTCACGTTGTCGATCTTCACGGGATAGAGTTCGTCTCGTAGCACGCGTGCTCCACGGCCGAAGCTCTTCTCCGCGATCTGCTTGACATACCTATGCTCCGCATCGTCGCGACAAATGATCCGGATCCTATCCGCGTTCCTTGGGTCTACCGTGACGGCCAGACACCGCCAGCTACCCTGTCCGTCCAACGCGCGCATCTCCTTTTCCACCGCAGCCCGGATCCGGCCTGGGTTGAGCTTGTCGCTGCCTTCTTCAACTCTTGATGTATCGATCGTACAGAAGGGGTCGCTGCGGCTCGGCAGCGTCGCGTTGCCCGCCGTGGCTACCCGCGAGTCGCGACCTTGCCCACCTAAGCCGCTTCGCGCGACGTCCGCGTAGGACACACTTGGGCTGTTCCGCGTCGCAGCAACTGTTGCGAGTGCTTCGAGGTTTTCGTTCGTCTTGGCGCTTTCGTCCTCCACGCGTTCTTTCATCGCTTGCAGCTCTCCTTTGACGGCCTGTAGCTCGCTCTTGACTGTTTGCAGCTCCGAAGTGACCACGCGAAGCTCTGCCTCAACGTTTTTATTCCGTGCTTCCGACTTCTTCCACGCATCGAACATGATCTTGACCGCTGTGTGTAGCTCTTTGACCTGCTTGCCCATCGTCAGGAGCAGCCCTTTGTCGTCATCCTCTATGGGTTTCGCGCGTTCCTTGGCCAGGGTTGTGGCTCGCTTGGTCGTCGTCCGCCGGCCACCACCAGCAACCTCCGTCGCTCCGTCGGTCGCATTGTCGATTATCTCTTGATGAGTCTGGTTCAGTTGGGCTTTCGCGGATGGCTTTCGCACCCTTCGTGATGGCAGGTCCTCGTCGCTCGCTGCCACCGCCTCCCTCGCAACGGTGATGGACGTCGAATCTAGCTCGAGATCCATCGCGTCGGGACGTGCGCAGAGACGCCACGCGGTAGATCGTGCTAGTGCCACGTAGCGCGTTTCGGAGCTTCTCGACAGCGCTCAACCCAACAACGTCGAATGATTCTTCACACAATCAAATATCGAAAATTCCCCAATCCTCTGATCAATACTACAGTAGAAGTCGAATTTCTCAGTCCACCACAGTTGGTTCGGTTACTGTTCAGTGTGAGAGGGTTCAGTTCAGTTCAACTGAGCACAGGCCCCCAAGGCTTGGGTGTTTGACTGGATTTTTCCACCATGAGCCAGCTGGGATGTGATCTTCATATGAACAAGATTATAAGGTAGCAAAGAAAGAGGGTAGAGGTGTGGTAGTGACAGGAAAAGAGGAGAGGAAGCAGAAAAAGAGGAAAAGAACTGGTGCTCACCCGGGTGAAGGCGGTCTGGTCTGGTCACTGTGCTGTCATCGCCCTCCAGTCCAGCTGGCTGCTGTTCTTGCCTTAGCCGTAGCTAGGGATCCACCCTCACCTGCCCACCATCACATTCCATTTGCGATGATCGCCTGCGCTGTTCAGAGACTCAAGGTAAGGCACGTGACATGCTTCAAAGCCAGATGAGTGGGTGCCTCACAAAGAAAGGCCACACAGCCAATCAGAAGACCAGGCTGACAGAAACGGGTCTAAGGCGTCAGGGCGTTCGAGTTGAGGTGGCCTGTGCCCCAGGTGACCGTGACATCGCTGCTCTTTCCTTTCCCTCGACGGGAACCTCCAGGCTCGAACCTCAGAAGGTGGGGCTAACCGCTCCAAGATTTTTGCCGAATAACTGCCGTACCCCGGATTCGATTCGTCCAAAGCTCCAGTGGCACCCGGCTCGGAAAGGCTGACCTTCGGTCACTTGGATTGGATGCAGCAAATTGGAAGAGCTCCTCCCAGCAGCCCACAGTCGCAAACATCACCGATTCCCATCGCACGACTGGCTATACAGTATTGAGCACCACCAGGAGCTCGATTGACCATCCGATACCCAACACACAGTCTTCTCTACTGCACCAATCTCCCTTTTACAATGCCTCCCGTTCCTGCGCAACATGGCGGTGCCATGGGCCCTGGAATCGCCGACAAGAGTACGATCCTCCTGTTACAACCTTTACGCGAGCTTCTAGCTAACTCTCCGCAGTGAAGATGGGTGCCCTCATGGGTGGAAGTATGTCTAGACCGGCCTACCAGCCCTATATACCTTGTCGCTGATCATTCTATAGCCGTTGGATCCGTCATGGGCTTCGTTTTCGGTGTGTAACAAACTCTCCCTACTTCTCTCGCACCGCATCAACTAACCAGCCACCCCCACAGGCTCCGTTAACATCATGCGCTACGGTGCCGGCCCCAACGGCATCATGAGAACTCTGGGACAATATATGCTTGGTTCAGGAGCAACTTTTGGGTAGGCCAAGCAGCTTCTGGTCTCTATACGCACAAGGACTAACAACCTCGAAGCTTCTTCATGTCCATCGGTAGTGTCATCCGTTCTGATGCTTCTCCCATTGCCGAGGAGGCTTTCCGAAGGGCCAACCGAAGGCCCATCATCATGTACGGCCCCGGCTCCGATTACGCGAAGCGCCAGCAATAAGCTAGAGGAGAATTCGAAATACCCTGTACATCATCATGTAGGAGACTAGTAGGCTGTTGCAAAAGGACGGCACGATGCTACAACACCGGCATCAAATGGATATCTGTATAATACTTAGGTGCTGGGCATATCACGACTGCATGAGAAAAGTTATTGCATCTTACAGGCGAGTCTTTGTATTCGCCTAAGCCAAGTCTCGGTGCCGCCGCCGCTTCTCTTGCCAGTTGACGACATTAGCCTGCATCGATCGGGTTGTTGGAAGGAGAAATATCAAGCACAGCCATGTCTAGATGCTTGAAGGCATTAATACAGGTCACGACGGTGTCTTGCCCTCAAGCGGGACCGGCCGGCGCCAGAAGGCCGCTTTGCGCTAGCCTGGCTTCATTCTTACGACCGGTACCTCTTTCGATGCAGCTGGCCTAGCCGAGTTAATATGGACTTGACAGTATGCAGGCTTCCAACATATATGCATATGTACACAACCGTCGCCTGACAGACGGACTGATACTCGAACTCCGGCCGTCTTCCCTTTTTCTCGCCATGTCTGCGGAGTTCCGCAAGGCATGTGCTTACTCATCTTGCATACAGATTTGATGCCCAGCGTTGTATCTTCCTGGCTTCATTGCATGACCTACCCTGTTCGACGCAGTAATATACATTGAATCAACTATCTCTTGGTCTAGCGTTCTTACAAAGTGGCTCTGGTCTCGGGGCTCTATTGATCTACACCCAAAGAAACGATGGAGAGCCGTTGATTATTGATCACAAGTAGCTAGGTATTCAATAAATGCAGGCTCTACGGGGTAAGCGTTTGTGGTCCCTAGTTCGCAGTGTAATGATAAAAATAAGTTCACGCTCCCTTCTCACTGATCTCCTCGTTCAAATTCATTTCCTCATCCAATCCATTTCTAGCTCTACCATGCGCTCGAAACTTTGTCTTTATTGGGCAAGCATATGGATGAGCCTTGCTGTGACTACCATGGCCGATACTTACGATTATATGTGAGTGACAGACGTGATGTCGAACGAGCTTATGAACTTGAGTTTAACGTGGTATTAGCATCGTTGGTGGAGGCACCGCTGGACTGACGGTTGCAGCTCGCCTCAGCGAGAACCCACAAGTGACAGTCCTGGTCTTGGAAGCTGGTGCGGATCGCTCTGCCGACCTCAATGTCTTGGCTCCCGGGCTGTTCCCAGCCATGTACGGCAACGCCGACTACGACTGGGACTACAAAACAGTTGCCCAGGTATCCATCTACCTTAACTTTGGTCCTCACCCTAGGTAACTAAACACAGCAAGCTGACATGTCCAGACATCGGCCAATGACAAAGTCGTCGCCCAAATCCGCGGAAAGCAACTGGGCGGCTCCAGCGCCATGAACTTCATGTTCTGGACGCACCCTTCCCAGCGAGACATAGACAATTGGGGCGCTCTAGGAAATGACGGGTGGTCATAGAAAGCGCTGGTCCCTTACTTTAAAAAGTCAGAATCGTTCGTGGCACCCTCGAGCCAGCAGACGAGCAATCTCTTGCTCGACTACGTTGACCCTAGCGTTCATGGCACCACCGGACCCATAGCCAATGAGTTCCCCCAACTCTACAACCCCTTTCTCAAAGCCTGGCCGCGAACTCTTGAGAAGCTTGGGCTTGGTGTCGACGGCGATCCTCGCAATGGCGTGGCTTTGGGAGGCTATGTCAACTTGCTCAACATTGACAAGGGCACGAGAAGCTACGCTGCGAACGCTTATCTTGGTCCGGCACGTCAACGGACCAGCTTGAAGGTGGTCACGGGTGCTTTGGTGACCAAGATTGTACTGGACAAGACTCGCGATGAGGTCTTGGTCAAAGGGGTCAAGTGGTCGCAGGATGGATTGGAGAAAGAAGCTACCGTTAAGAAGGAGGTGATCCTCGCCGCTGGTTCCATTGCTTCGCCACAGCTTCTCGAGGTATCTGGTGTAGGAGACAAGGAGCTCCTAGGAAGTCACGGAATCGAGGTTTTCGTTGACAACACTAATGTCGGCGAGAATCTTCAGGATCACATTTATGTTCCTCTTGGGTCAGTTTTCATATCTCAAGTATTCGGTACCATCGTGGTTCAATACAATGACTAATCATCGCTCCAGATTTGCGGTGAAGCCCGACCTACCTACGAACGAGGACTACGCCAACACAACCTACTTCCAAGAACAGCTTGACTTGTACCTTCACAACAAGACCGGTCGTCTGTCCTCTGCCGGCGCCAGCTCGGCGCTCTTGTCCTTGAAGCAGATCGCCTCCACTCTGGACCTGTCTCTACCCTCGCCGAAGACTAACCTCCCCGGCCTGGCCGAGCAACACGGCATCACATTCCGAGACCTCAAATCCGAAGCAATCGCCCAAGAGCTCACAATCGAGGGCGGTATCTCACCACAGTACTCCGCTGATACAACCAAGCTCTTCTCGGCGGGGTCACCTGGCAACTTTCTTTCCATCATAGGCGTTCTGGAGCACCCCTTTTCGAGAGGCACGATCCATATCCAGTCCGCCGACGCAGCCGTTCACCCCATCATTGACCCACGCTACCTCTCCCATCCGCTCGACATACAGCTTTTGAAAGTCATCGCACTTCATCTGCAGACCGTCGCCCGGACACAACCGCTGAGCGACCTGCTTCAAGGTGAAGGGACAGTCTTCCAGCCTGGGTACCACGAACTCACAATCGCAAATGTGGAGGAGTGGATCAGGGGCAGTATGCAGAGCGAATACCACCCCTGCGGTACATGCGCCATGCTGCCTAGGTCAAAGGGTGGTGTGGTCGACGAGAGGTTCAGGGTATACGGGGTCAAGGGGCTGCGTGTGGCCGACGCCAGTATCTTCCCGTTGATTCCGAGAGCCAACATTCAGTCTGTAGTCTACGCGGTCGCGGAGAGGGCGGCTGATTTCATCAAAGAGGATGCCATCTGAGGTGCATTATCTAAAGTGTTCTATCTTGCTACCATCGTATCTACCATCGTATATACACATTACATCCGTCCATTACATCCCATCCCGTCTGAAGACGTAGGTTCATCTAAAAACTCAAAGCAAACATCGTCAAAGCCACCGCGGCAAAGACACCAGCCGGGCCAGTGACGCTTCCGCCGCTGACAGCAGTCGGCGTAGCCGTCGGGCTCGAGGTACCATTCGTAGCAGTAGCGTTCGCCTTCAGACTCGCGACACCAAACGTGAGCTGCTCGGGGTTCGTACCGTTCCACACGGTGTAGTACCCCTTCAACAACGGGCTTCCCAGAACCCAAATGGACGCGAGATCGCTAATGGGCTGCACCGGGTTCAGGAAGATGGTCTGGCAGATGCCGCTGTGGCCGGGGTACTCGCCCAAGTTGAACGCGCCCTTGGGGACCGTCATGTTGACCAGGTTGTCGCCGACGCCGAGGGTGAAGGTCAGCTCCGGGTCCAGCTTCTCGACCACGTCGCAGGGGGCGCCCCAGACACCGAGCTCGTCGATCTGGGTGATGTCGGAGCTGATGGCGGCGTAGATGTCCTTGGCGGTCTGGTAATCCGGCGTCTGGAGGAACGCGGTGCCGGTGTCGACGTTGGAGACGCCGACGGGGAAAGCTTCGCCCGAGGCGTTGGAGTTGGACACAGTCTTGCCGTTGACGTAGAAGGCGGGCTGGTCGATGAACCAGCTTCCACCGAGGTAGGACACGGTCATGTTGAAGTCAACGTTGGCGATATCGCCCTCGTAGTAGTCCTTGTTTACGCCTCCCAGCGTGAGCTCGCCCGGCGCGCTGCCCTCACCAGAGTTGAGGAAGAAGGAGAAGAGGGGCTCGGGGACGCCGCCGTTCTGCGCGAGGGTCCAGAACCAGGTGGAGAAGGAGGTGTTTGTCTCGGCGGAGAAGTGGGAGAAGCCGGGGGGTCCGAGGCCGAAGATGCCGTCAATGTTGGGCATCTCGTTAAAGGCCTCGGCGTAGGTGTCGCAGAGGAGCCAGGTCTGGTTCGCGACGGTGAGGTTGCCGACGGTCACGGCGTCGGTTACGACGGTGCCGGACGCGGCTTGCGGGACGGCGTAGGGGACGGATTTGCCGCCTGTGCCGAAGGCGGTTGTGACGTTGTAGCCGGGTTGGGGGGAGAAGGTTGTGGAGGCGGAGGCGTTGAATTCTTTGGCGACGAGGCAGTTTGTGCAGGCTGTTGAGGGGAGGATGAGGTCCGTTGAGCCGGTGTCGAAGGTGACGATGCTAGGGGGTTGTGAGTGTTAGTCTAGTCGCTCTGTCTGACGTCCCGAAAGACTGAGAAAGACGGCTGGGGGTCGGTTGCAAGACTTACTGCTTCTGAGGCGGGGTGCCGACGTCGACTTCACCAATCCATTGGAGGTCAAAGTTCTCGAACCAGTTTGTCAAGGAGACTGAGCCGGTGGCCGCGCGCTTGCTGAGAGCCTTGGCCTTTGAGAGGTTTGTACGGCGGCTATGGAGCTTGATGTTCATCGGGTCGGCGGCCGCGGAGTGGCTCAGGGCGAGAAGGGCAACTGCCCCAGAGACTGTCTCGAATCTCATGTTGATTCTTTTGGAGTAACGAGCTCAATGGATGGTGTAATAACTACTAGGAAGGTATGAAGAGAGGATGAGAGATGTGCTGATGAAGGAACTGGACCGGTGGTCTGGAGGCCGATATCACGACTTATATGCCACACATCAGGAGAAGTTGGCCAGGCACGCATTGGAAGCTCCAAACAGAGCTTACATCCTTAGTGGATGTTGATTCTCCAGGCAACTTTTTTGCAAGGGCCACGGCAACGCGGAAACTGCAGAACGTGAAGGCATCTCGAAACAAACTCCAAGAAAATCTCAGCCATGTCGACGTTTTTGGGACTTTGGTCGTCGAGAGACAATTAGCCCCAGGACCTCGTCATCTCACTAGCGAGAAAGAAGAATAGCCTAATGCAGCCCTCACCAATGAACCCGGTCCTGACTCTAAAGCTGTTGGTTAGAGTATACCAAAGTCCCGTTCCCACAACAGAGGCGGCCGCCCCTTACCCACATGCCGCTTACGCCCGAGCTCTTGGTCCAAGTTCAAGGTCACAATCGTAGGACTAAACTGTCGGTAGCGTGGTGCCTGAAAAATGGCGGAGCCGGGCTGTGGAAGGAAAACGGCGCTCTTTTTAGGTGAGGTGGCTGTAGCCTGCGTATGGGACAGGGCTGAGCCCATGCCGGCACGGCAGGGGTCTGAGCAGAGACCTACTAAAACAGTTAGATCCCTACGAGCTTCGGACTCCTCGCATTGGGTCCTCTGGACCAATGAACTGCTATTCGCGAAGATTGAGAAGAGGTGAGGTGTTGTAGATGGGGGTGGGTTGGTGCCCTCTATTTCGAAGAACTTTGGGAGACTAGGATCTCACAGCGCGGGAAGGCTACATGGTACCGTTTGATTATGGGGGCGGCTGGTCTTAGCACCATGCGGTATTGCGGCACGAGCGTTCTTGTGCCTTGAGATCCGATAGTCTGGACTCTCAAATGACTTTGCGACGATGGTAAGCTGACATCGTGACAAATTGAGGATGGGGGTTGGCCTTGTCAATGTGCAGGTTTCGTGTAGTTGGACAAAGCGGGGTGGCAGGCGTAGATTAAGAGTACGACTCCGTTGGTGGTGGTCTTTCTCACCGATGAATCATAAGGTAAACAGAGATTTTGGCTAAGATTGTTGCCATTAATCTTTGCCGTTGTTAGTTGTTTGCAGTTTTGCCCGATAATGATTGCGTGACTAGCCCCTTCATTGAGGGCCACATTTCCCTCGAGATTGGTGCTGCACTCTCAACGCTGGCATTCTTGGAAGCTTGGACAGGAGCTTGGCTTCAACGATCTCCTTGGCGCTAAAGCTTAAACGTGTCTGCCTCAGTCTTGTAACGAAAATTTCGTCTGTCAACATACAGGAACCTTCACTAGTTTCGTGGTATGTCATCTTTCTGACTTAGTACAGTGCCTGATTATCCCGTTGACGGAGGGCATCAGAGCGGAGCATCAGAGCAAAGGAGCGAGATCTTTGAAATAACACATGAATGAAGCCTTGAGCAATCATAGACGCTACAAAATGTGGGCGGCAGTCACAGAAAGTACCAAAGCATGCCCTCCGCCCGCTTGTTGGCTGACCTACAGGTATTTGGCTGGTCATGTTGAGATATCGTGCAAATCTGCAGCCAAGGCAACTAACCCAAAGCACCAACGTGTAGGTGAAAACCAAGCAGAACCACCTCCAACGCCTTCTGTCTTGCTAGTCCCGACGAGCGGGTTCGGAACTCCTCGAATACGTAACGACCCGACGGACCGGTGCCGTATCCGGGAGGGTCACTGAGTGCATGGCGCATGCAGCGTCCCCAAGACCGGGACCCAATTATGGGGCACACAACATCCGGAGTCCCGGCCCTTGTGGGACAGGAGCGGCGTCCGGCCCGTAAATTGTTCACCAGCGCCGATCGGTCTTCCGAAAGTATTTGCCGTAAGTGCGAGAGCTAGGCTTCACTAAACTATTACAATTCATCTCACTCTTCCTTGTAACGAAATTGCAATGCGACAATGTCCAACGGATTTATCCGCCACTAGTGATTAACTACCGGGAATAATGTTCCGTATCGGCAGTGCTCCGCGGGATCGAACAAGTAATGAGATTGACACTTACATTATCTCCCTGGCAATAAGAAGTGTCTAGTCGGCAAGACTCCGATGCTAAGACACCTTGCACAGAGAAGATGGACGGCGTTGAGGGCGCTTTTGAGGCAGCGACGGCCGAATCACGACACTGGACCCCGCGATGGCGACACAGCCCACGCCAAGGGGTAGCGAATCATCAGCGCTTCGCAGCACATCATCAAGCATCGGACCCCGTTGTAACCTACACGACTCCCGGAGTGTTATCTGGGCAGTTCTCCAGTATCCGTGAGATTGTGGCCAACTTGGAACCTCCCTTAGCGTAGCGCGATGGCCAGTTTATCAGGAAGCGAGATACATAAATCAGGTACGGGATCCCCCAAGGTTTGAGAACGTTGTGGTTTTGAGAGTTGCGGCTGTTCAATTCATACCCTGTTGAAATCCTCCCTGTCTTTCCGTTGTAAGTTACTAACTCTACGGATTCACTAGAGCTCTCACCTCTGCTCGGCATGGGGTCAGAGCAGGAATACGCGTCCGCGTCTCCCAAGGGAGTAACGGTGGACGAGTTTTCTTCAGACGGACAAAACTCTGCGATACTCGAGAAGAAGAAAGCGCCATGGTGGTCTTACATCTGGGACTACGAACCGGGCCGGTCGCAGGAGGAGCGCGTATTCATCCAGAAGCTCGACGTCTTCTTGATAACGATGCTGAGTTTCGGCTACTTTATCAAAAACCTCGAACAGACGAACATCAGTAACGCTTTCGTCAGCGGCATGAAGGAGGACCTCGCAATGAACGGAAACGAGATCAATCTCATCGACACGGCATGGACTGTCGGCTATGTCGTGGGCCAGATCCCCTCGCAGATCGTCCTCACCAAAGTCCGCCCATCCATTTGGGTGCCATCGTGCGAGCTGCTCTGGACTGTCTTGACTTTCTGTCTGGCGGCGGCAAAGACCTCAAACCACGTCATTGCCATCCGATTCTTCGTTGGTTTGGCAGAGTCAATTTTTTACCCGGCCGCTCACACGATCCTGGGCTCCTGGTATAAGCCCTCCGAGCTCGGCAAGCGAGCCTGCATCTTCCACGCCTCTTCGGCTGCGGCGAGCATGTTCTCGGGCTATTTGCAAGCTGGCGTCTATAAGGGACTCAACGGTGTTCATGGTCTAGCAGGTTGGAAGTGGCTATTTGTAAGCACCCCCTCGATCCCGTATGGCGTGCTTTGGTGGAGACGACTCCTTCAAGACCGTGTGCTGACTCGGCCTCCGACTTACAGATCATGGATGGTATCATCAGTCTGCCAATTTGCATTGCTGGGTACTTCTTCCTGCCTGATCTTCCTGAGAATACACGAGCGTTCTACTTAACTGAGAATGTCAGTGAAACCAACTTCAATGATTTTGAGAAACCGCAGCTACTAACAATCACCTAGGACCGTGAACTGGCCCGCAGGCGGATGGAGAGCGTCGGACGTGCTCCGCGAACCAAATTGGGCCGTTCTGCGTTCAAGCGTATTTTTGGTCGCTGGCACGTCTACTTCCTGACCATTCTGTACATCATCTTTATCAACATTGGGCCTTCCAGCAGTGTTAATCCCTTCTCTCTCTGGCTCAAATCCAAGGGCGAGTCTGTGGAGAAGATTGTAAGTTGACTTTGCTCATGGTTAATCTGTGGTATCACGTAGCTAACATGGATTACAGAATATCATTCCGACAGCGGCTTCAGCTATTCAACTGGTCCTTACGGTGTCATTCGCCATCCTCTCCGACGCGATCCGCCATCGTGCTAGCGTCATGTCGATATCCACCTTCCTCGGTGGTTTCGCTGCCTTGATCCTCGCCATCTGGAATGTACCAGACGGGTTGAAGTGGTTTGCGTTCCTCCTCCAGCGTGCTTCCGTACCGTACGGACCACTCAGCATGAGCTGGACGAACGAGATTTGCGGCGCCGATGCCGAGGAGCGTGCCATTGTCATAGGAATCATGAACTCACTGGGCTATGCCTTCAATGCGTGGGTCCCGATCCTGACGTACCCTCAAGTTGATTCACCCAAATTCAAGAAGGGCTTCATTTTCTCGACTGTCGCTTTCGGTGCCCAAGCATTGATCACCGCAATGGTGGCCTTTTTGTACAAGCGAGACAAAAAGAAGGAGGGAATCACCAAGAGAGACGAAGAAGGTGTTACGGCACCGGCTTCTGTTCCTAATGCCGAATAGAATTTTGATCTCTATCGGCCTACAATAGATTAGAAGCATACCATCAGCACCTTCAGCTTAATTGTCATTCTAATTAACATTGGTCGCTCCTAGTCTCATTCAAGATGAAAGGACACGGACTCACCGGTACCGACATTTCTTATATCACTTAGCAAGTATCTTTAGACATCTGAGTTTGATTGTTTTCATCGGCATCTAATTTAGTTTGGCGTCTTAATAGAACATCTCAGAAACTTCAAGTCATCTCGAGAGCCCATTCTGAGCATCCAAATTCTTGCTGACACTAATTGAAGTGACGCGCCAAGGACTTTCAGATTGGATCATCGGATAATCCCATGCCATATTACGATGAAATGTAACATCCCAATTCAAAGTAGTCCTGGTTGAAGATGCGTATCGCCATGTTTCCGGAGGTGCTCTCGGTTCGGAAGTGCTTTCGGGCCACACATGCATCGAACAGATTGACACCTCAAGTCTAATTTGCGTTAAAATCAAGAGTTTCGGTATTGCCTCTTCATCTGAAGAGGGACATGCTCGGTACAATGTTCCAATGAGAACTAAAGCTTGTCATCTTCATATGCTCCTCTTATCCTGGTCTCATTATGTACTCACGACAGGAACAGCAGGGTTTACAGCCCACGTTTGTTACCCGGATTCCGTCTACTGCAGCCTGCGTCTGTAGAGAATGTTTTCTTACCCCAAAACTATCTGCTGGGATTTTATGGAAACGGTTCAGGTTAAACGAAAGTGATTCATAGCGTACTTGCTTACCTTAGGTGATTCATGCAAACGCGGCTGCAATCCACAGTCACCCTGCTTCATCATTATCACACCTTTTCATGATTTGAACATTCGGATTAGAGCTTTGTGTACATACTCTAATGCTCTATGGAACTTCAAAATGAGTTTGCAATGAATCTCAAGAGACTCACGGTTTTCAGGGCTTCTTATGGCTACGTTTTTCACCTGGGTAGGTGTTGGTAAACACGTAAGCAGGCCAGACCTTTCGGTCGCGACTAAGGTCAATAATCGGGGTAGTTTGTATTGCGCGTAAGTGAAGGAGGAGGAATCGTGGGCAGAGCCCGCGATCCCTCTGTGGGTGTAAGTAGGAGGAAGGGTCCGTCTGCACGGGCCCAATCTGCCTTCCTACCTACCCGCCTACCTACCCGCCTACCTAGGCCCTTTTCTGCCTTCTGCCTTGGTAATCCAACAGTAGGGTTACAGCCTCTTCAAGAGCTTCCCAGACATGCCTCATGAACAGTGCACGGGGTAAGGGACAGAAAAGTTGAGAAGTCTATCACAGGGCTGGTCAAAAGTGGTATAGAAGTAGACCACCTTGAATTCCTGCAACTCTTAATTTAATCTAGACCTAGTTGAGAACACTCGGGATATCACTGTCCTAAATGAGCCCGCTCCTATGTCTTTAGTTATCATCTTATGATTTGAAGTTCGAGTTTTAAGGTCCTTGTCATCTCACTCGACTTGCTATTAGATAAACACAACTACTTTAGTTGGGAGATATTGAATACCCTCGAATTATTAGACTGTGTGATATGTCATCTTTACGTGTAGCACTGACTGCCCGTTTCCTTGATAGGTCTTGATCTTCTGAATAGCATTTGAACCGCCTGTGAGTGAAATCTAGGGATAACTGCTAAATTTAACTAGGCTTTCTTTCGAAAAGTTTAATCCACTTTCTGTAAACGCTACCTCGTCGAACTCAAAGATCTTGTTTAAGGCTTTCATCATTCGTGATACAAGCCCAACAAACCTGTTTCGTAGGTCACCTGTTTCTTTGCACAAGACTACATACAGTGCCAATTCAGGGTTCTATCGCCTTTTGTACTCACCCTTTCGCTTCCACTTATACTTCAAGTCAAATTCTTGCCTAGTACGCAAGTGAACACTCGAAACGGCTTTCGAACTCGATGCGTGAGCCTCTGTGGCTCAGCATATTTGGTAGTAGGTTTAGCCGAGACTTGGCTTAGGCTAGTTGAGATCCATCTACAACATACTAAATCTGAGAGCCAATCAAGAACGTTATATGCCGCTCCTGATCACTGTGTCAAGCCATTCTCCGCCGTCATCACCGACTCATCAGCCACGCCGAGATGACCAACAAGAATCACATCACTCCACGGTAGGGGCAACACTGTCCAGAGTCTCCAATTCTCGAATATGACGAGGCCAAAACTATCGGGTTACTCCTTTCTTCAGTTAGCAATTTATTAGATGTTTCGCTTCGAAGCTGTGTGAGAACGCATACCAGACTCCTATTATCTATCGGCCATTGGGGTTGCAGTCTGAAGGCTCGCCCCGTTACCACATTGGTACTCCACCCAACCTCGACGCGCTTGGGTCCGGTGGCAAAGCCAAGATCATCAAAATATCTCGAGGTACATATGAGAATCAACGGTCGATCGGATGATGGGAGTGACGAAGAAGCCACCTGCCGCATCGTGACTGACGAAGGGGGCCCAGGATGGTGTGTTCTCGACCCTTGCATGTCAGATGTCGCGAAGTGGGCTGGGGCTCCTCACAACCAACCGCTCCCATCTTCCCCCACAAACGCTCGTCGAACCCCATAAAATTCACTCGTTCAAGTTGGACCGATCACCAGGATGATGGAAGAATGGCCGGTTAAGTTGCTGGCTGCACAGTCTAGTCCTCTAGGTCGCCACGTTCTCTGGGGTCACTCTAGGGTCCTGGTCGTAGTCCTGATGGTGGGTGCGGGAGCCCGGTGTTGCTCGGCATTTTGCCGTAGGCTATGGGCGTGCGGCACGTCTCCAAATCTGTCGAGAGTCTCCTGTTAGCTCCTCGCATCTTTTCCCCTCACGGGAGCTGGGGTAAATTGGGGAACCATGTCGGCCCATGGTGTGGCTCGCTGAAATACCACCGCCTCTGCTGCTCTGTTATTACGGTCTGTTATCACTTACTTTTCCAGCTGCAAGTTTCTGCTGCGACCTATTACCGGCATTTGATGCAACTTCAATGTGACGGGTAGGTTATTTAGCCTCCGTCTTACAATCTCCAAAGTTATCCGTTCAATCCTGCCGTAGACCTCGCGTTCTACTAGCATCATGCTCGTCACTCAGCCCATTCGTCCTCGGCCGGTCAAGACTCGGTCGAGAGCAGGTTCGTCTGATGCTTCTTTCACAAAAGCCTCAGATTCAGGATTTCTAACATGAACATCGTTGTGACGATAGGTTGCAAATACTGGTTAGTCAATTAACGAGGCTCTTTCATCTCATGTTGTGACGATGAAGAATAATCACTTTGCTAATCTCATCTTCCAGTCGTGACAAGGTTGGTCATCTTGACCCATCTCGGATATGAACGTTTGACCAACACCTTGCTAGAGAAAGAAGTGCTCGGAAGAACGCCCGCAATGTCTTCGGTGTGTGCAGGCTGGTATAGTCTGTGTCTATGAGCCTATAAAGAAGAGAAAGAGACGAACTTCGACCCGGCCAGTTGATGCTCAAGACTCCATGGCGTCAGACGATTCAAGCAGCCCGACAGTCAACACAGACTTCCAGACAAGTCCAGATACGACTATCGTTACCCCACCCGATGTCTTACAGCTAGGCGTAGAAGAAAGTCTGTCTCCAACATCGGCTTTGGAAAACAGTTATTCTACTTCGATCGATTCTGCGTTTGCCTTCTCCGAAGACCTCGACGACACCGGCAGCTATGATATCGGTTACGAGGACTCACAGCGTTTTGAGGACGGGTTCAAATTTATGGAGGATCCGGGTTGTCAGAAAGCAGTCGAAGTCCACCTCCCGCTCTCTCTTGCGACTATAGAACAGAGTTATCAGCAGCCGGCGGATGATTCCTTTTTCAGCGCCAGTTTCGACGTATCTTGGAATGAGCCATCCTGGTCAACTACACCGCCGCCGTTGCTGGACCTGCTGCCGCCGACTGGTCGTACCATACCTGATTTTCCGGAGAATACCGGCTTGTTAGATCACTACTCCAAGGCTATGCTCCCGACAATGGGGTTTGTGGATGGTGCCGCAAACCCTTTTAGGCAACATATTCTTCCCCTTTCCCATAGGAGTTCCGCTGTTCGAAGTGCGATTTACGCGTTAGCCAGCGCACACCGTGAATATGCTGGTCTTGAGACCACGGAGGGATCTGCGTGTTTTCATGAAAGAGCCGTGGCTGGCCTTTCCGCGATCATCGAGGATGGAGATGGATTTGAAGAAGCTCTGGCGACAATAATTCTACTGATACAGTACGATTTGGTGAGGGATTTCATGTTTACGGCTCAAACCTCGAGCATCGACTTACTAGCAACGCAGGTGTTACAGCGGAGCTCGGACAAAGTGGTGTATAATCATCTCCAAGGCGCACGCCACATCATGTGTGCCATGCCATTACCGAAGCCTGCGAGTGTGGTGTTCTTCGAACAGGTAAGCTAGTATCATGTAAGTCTGATCGAAAGTGTCTTTAACACGGGGCAGGTTTTCCGCTACTTTGACGTGCTCAATGCCTTGACCAACGGCACTTCTCCCGTCTTCGCAGCTCCCTCAAGTCGAGCCTGCTCACCAAGTACCCTGCCACCAGCCGTAATCTCTGGCGGGATCGATCCCGTATTGGGCATGGCCGATGATCTTTGGCCCACTCTACACCGTCTTGCAGAGCTCATGGCGATGAAACGCGAGCTTCAAGCCGCTACAGCGATGGGGCAATCCTCCAAATTCGCCGTCCTCCGTACTGAATACCAAACGGCATACAAAGCAATAGAGAAAGCCCTAGAGTCCTGGAGCCCGACGTTGCCACCAGGCTTTTCTCTGGTTAACCGCATCGTTGACGGCCCCGGAAGCGCATCCGAGGCGGAGCTTACCAACATCAGGTGGATCACAAGTACAGCACTCGCATATAGACAGAGCGCTCTGGTCTTCCTTCACAGCAACGTCTCGGAGTACCCTTCATCACATCGCCTGGTACAGAAACACACGCAGGCCGCTCTGTGGCACTGTGCGGCATCAGTGTCTCATGGCGGAGCAGGACTCTCCATGCTGTGGCCACTCTTCTTCTCTGCTTGTCATGCCATATGCAGCAGGGACCGAGGCTTAGTGCGTCAGGCGTTCACGGCCTTTGGCGGCAAGAAGGGTGTGGTTGACACGGAAAAGCCGTGGGCTGTTGTCATGGACGTGTGGAGAAGGATGGACATGCGAGCATATGGCAAGGAGCAAGTGGGTTCTGAGGCCTGTCCAGAGTTGTGGAGGCAAGTGGCGGCAAGCATGAAGTTTGGCCTTGTGTTTGGCTGAATGGAAGTGACTTCATTCGTACGAGACTCTGACCGGGGATTTGGGGACGGAGACGGAGACGGACAAGTCTGGGGAGACCCCAGCTCATGGCCTTTTCCGGGACCCTTGTTTTGATAGCTTCACGGTAAGACGGTCGTTCGAGAAGGCAACACAGGTTTTGATATATGGGGTAAAACACCGGGCTAAAGGAACACTACCCGCCAACAAGAGGAGTTGCATTAGCAGTTGAATATACCACGATCGTTTCTGCTGACTTGGATTCGGCTGCACGCACAACGGAAACGAGTTGATTTCGCATCATGGACTGCTCATCAGCGCTCTACACTAGCGCTTCTAGCGGAGCCCAACATCCACCTTGTCGAGCAAGCTAATGCAGCTCATGATTGCATCCGCTCGTCCACAGGACCAGCAACTCCTTCAGGTGAGTCGACGTGGCTCGACCAATGCCAGACACCGCTGTCATGATTGTCCGCCAACCAACGTTGGAGAACAGGGAGCCGCAGGGTACACTCCGACCTCGGTACAGGGTTCTTTTCAGCCTGATTGCCCCTCCGCAGATCCAGGGGACCGGGGGCGGCACAGAGGCGAGCGAAGCTACTTAACAGTTACAGTAAAAACACAGACGCCTGAGCCTAAAAATCGTAAAAGTAGGTATGGTGTCACCTTAGGTATCCAGCTACTGTTTGTTTCCAACGCCGAGACGTTGCGGCAGACTGGGGCGAGATATCTGCATCTGCGGGCGGTTACCGATCTGGGCCTGCAAGTCCTCCAAAGGCGCAGACGTCCTTTCGTCTGATTTTGGCGCACCCTCCATCACATGAAGCCATGCGTGCCGGCCACGCGCTGCAACCCCAGAACGCGGTGCAAATACCGGAAGCGGTCTTTAGCCTGCGAGTTTTCGTTTTTGAACCCGAGTAGCGTGGCTATGAGGGCTCTGACTTTTTGGAGTCAAGGGTGAGGGGAAGAGAGATGAGGGAAGACGGTCAAGTAGCATCTCTCGCTTACCCTTCCTCGCTTCTTGTGTTTAAATTGCAATCGATGCAGACGTTCTAGGTAGGGCTGAGCACTTACGCGGTGCCCCGGGATTGAATCAACGCCCAGATGTGTGGATAGCGTCATGGGTCATAGAGAGGCTTTTGGGATCAAGGATCAACTGTCAATCCGACCTGATGGGTTCGTTTGCTCCGCGTCCTGTGAATAGCAAATGATCCTCGGGAAGTCGTCGCACGCCGCGCACACCGGCCTTCCGTCTTTGTCATATCTCAGCTCAGCATTAGACGGCACAAGAGTCGGTGACACCAGTGCAATGTGCATGCGAACAGAAGTACCCAAGCCAACCAGCCGCGCCGGTCTAACCTCCCAGAGCTTGACCTGAGGCTGGACACGCATTTGGGGCGTCATGTGATGGATGTAAACTCGGGCTCGATTTGCGAGCAGGGGTGAGGGTTCTGACCAACTGACTTGTGCTGACTGGACTTCACGCTGTGTAAATGCCCAGCAGACGGGCGGCCCAGACGTGCGTTTGCTTCTGCACCACCCCACATAGCTGCCGAATCCCGGCCGTTGGTGTTCTTTCTCCAACTGTGCGAGACTAATGAGCGGGAAAAAGGACGCTCCGTTCCTCTGATGTGTGAGGGGTGTTCGATCCAGGATAGAGGGTTGGTATTGCACGCCTCCCTGCACCATAGCACGTGACGCAACTTGGACGTTAGAAGGACTGAGAGTATGGGAATCCGCATGTCTAAGGAGAAGCACGATCTCTTCGGATGTCTACTGGGCAGAAGATTTGCTCGTGGTTGAAGAATGAAGAAGGTCGAGGATCTGTGGCGTTTCTCTCAGTCGCGTGGCCTACTTCCAGCAAGCGGGTTTGCAGGAGGATGATTCGATGAACTCTGAGATTGTGCAGACTGCTCTGTGGTTGGCTCGGTTCCGATTTCCTCTTGCTTCCACCAGCCACATGTCGGAGGAAGTGCCGGATAGTTTGCTGGGGCCGGTGGGGCTGGGGCCGGGGCCGGGCCGGAAACTAGAACGGGCAGCTTGGGGAATTCACTTGGGTCGAATGGCAGATTCACGATCATGATCTTCAAATTCGTTCGTTCAGTGCTCTCTGTTCAATGTCTCGAAACTTGATCGTCCGACTGGGAGGTTTGAACCTCAAGATGTAACTCACGCCAACAAGCTTCTTGGGGAGCAACAATCATGTTCTTTTGTGGCTGGACTCAAGATAGCGTTTCCTTCTTCAGTTGATTGATTAAAATGATTCTGAAATTGTAAGGACTTATTTCCAAGATGAAGTCTGGGTCTTCAACCAAGGCACCATAATATCCACGACGCCCTGCAAGTTTTCAGGGAACAGCGCGTGAGAAGCATCTTCAACAAAGACTACCGTGGACCGGCTCCCCACCAGCCCCGTGGTATAGTTCCACTGGTCTTCTCTTCTCCACGGATCTAGTTTCGCGATGATGTCCAAGATCTGAGTAGTGTTGCTGCCAATTGTGGTGCTTGTAGGAGCGCCCGTCGTAGAGCCCATAGCCTCAAGGAACCAACCCGTCAACCACAGAGAGGCATTGTGTCCGGGAGCAAAGTACCCCAACTCCAAAGCAGCAAGTCGCTCCTCTACGGAATAAGTATAGTTGCTCGCAACGTTGGCCGTAGCTGCAATGGTGGCGTTGGTGTTGATGCCGGTGTTGATGCACGCCAGGACAATTGAGGGCACCTTGTCTGGGTAGGCGGCAGCCATGTTCTTTGCCATACGTTGGCCGGCGGCGTGGCCGAGCACCACGGCCTTTCCGTTGCCAAAGGTATCAATGACCGAGACTAGGTCGGCGCCTACCTCGGCCCAAGTGGTGTCGATGGGGCCGGTAGATTCGCCCATGCCTCGGGGTTGAGGACGCAAGACGCGGTAGCCTGCATCGGCGAGGGCGGTTGAAAACTCGTGGAAATCGTCGATGCTGTCACGCGCAAAAGACGGCCAGACGAGAAGTGACGGACCATCTCCTTCGACAAGGACCTGGATCGTGTTGTTTGATGACCCGGTGAGGTATTTCGTGGTGTATCCGGCGGATGCCAGGCCCAGCAGAGCGGAGGAAGCAAGAAGATTATTGATGTACATCGTAATACACCATGCTTTTTCTTTCCGTGCAAGTTTGTAGGATTCGACTTTTGAACGAGTGACAGAATATTTGCCGATTGTACGGCTATAGTCAAGAGAATGTCGAGTGATTGGTGAATGTGGTGCAGGGGGTTCTATAGCAGACTGGACGATCAGAGGCATGATATATACAAAAACAGAACCCACATTGCTGCCTCCCACTTCACCGGGAGTTGAAAAGCTTCAGTCGGGACCCCTGAGCTTTCTTACGAATATTATCCGTTCTGCATCGCAAATCCCACCGATTAGAGTTTACAGACTTCTTGGCATTTATCCATGGTGGCGGTACTACAGATCTGTGCAATGTCGGCATCTTGAATGCGTAGCCCTTCGAAAAGACGAAGACTTCCTTAATCTACCAAAGATCGTGTCTTCTCGGACATGTCATAAGTGGCGCACACCGAGTGGTACATATTAGTTTTGAATGCTTCTGCATCGAGTTCGAAAGGCTCAGTCACGTTACCACAACTTAACTTTATTTTATAATCCCTCGAATCACTTTGAAGTAGTTTCAATTGATACTGACTTTGAAGCCAGTAGCAAGCAACAGTATCAAAGGAGCCCGAAGCTTACGATTTCCATTCGCATATCGGCCAATGCATCCCAAAGACGTCCACAGCGAATAACTCACAACTATGGAGGCTGCATCAGGGGACCAACAACACTCAAAATTCCGTCAACTTATGAATAGCGATTGAAAGGTCAGCAGCCAGTTCATCCCGGCATGTCAGGTACTCTAGTCACGAAAAGCCCGGCCGCCAAGATTTGAGAAGCCTGTATAGCGCCCCTTTCCGTGCGATTATTCCCCCACATACCGGGACGGGATTGACTGAGTTTCTCTATGCATTCATTTCGAGCATGGCCATTGCGGCGGGCGGCCGGTAGGCCACGCCATCCCGCGGAGGTTTAAACTTCAAATACATGTATTTCCCCCGTGCCGCCGGGAGACACGACTCGTGCTCTCCACGAACAGCATATAAATCGCATCTTGTACGCTGCCATAACGCTGTAGTGACTCAGATAAGTGCGAGGTACGGATAAACTGTTTGATTTTTCAAACGTCGTATACTAGCAATAGCTCACAAATTGTGAATTTTCGGCTCTTTCAGCTCAGTTTCTCATTTCCGAGTCTCAGAGCACTGGCGATTCCTTTTCTTCGAGCGTTCATGGTAGACTTGTGACACTTGTTTTCTAATGCACATTAACTCTTTTTTATTGTTTTCTGCAGCTGGTTTAGTCGTCATCCGCTGACATACCACCTGATCAGGACTCGAATCAAAAGGGCATACGGTATAAGCGTTACAAGAAGTTGAACTTGCCACTTAGAACCTGAACATAAGTGAGAAATTGATATGTTTGACATCTAGAATGATTTGGTCAGAAGTGAATCATTAACCAACCAGTAGCTCAAGACCCGCTAAACTCTTGTTAGCCACTCAAATACACGGCGTTCTGGTCAATTGTATGGAACGAGTTAAATCTTGAGGGACTTTGGTTTCTTACAAGAAATTCGAAGAACTTCTAAAAAGAATACCATCGCTGAATTTCAAGTTTCGAATAGGTGTTTATTGCGCTAGTTCCAAATGGGCACATAATTCACCTATTTTGGCGCCCTCATCATGGTCTACTACCAGGACGTGAAATAGGCATCAGTCCAAGGCACGTTGTATCATTTCTGTGTCTGATCTCAGAAATTAGCGGAGATTATTCAGCTTAGGTGGCAAGAGTGATGAAGAGTGAGGTTCCTGGATGTCATTAAAGTCTCAAAGTAACGCTGACATTACTAATTCAGTTCACTCATACAATCGTACTATTTATTCCACCATATGAACTATTTAATGATGGGAGAACCTCAAGCAGGAAAGAAACAAGGATTGCGCAGCTCTCACGAGCCGCATTCAGATCTCCATCAACTCATGCCAATCGTCCACGGCATTTTAGACCTGCAGTTCCTCACTTAAGTTTGGGCGGTCGATTTCAACTTCGTAGGGTAGCCACATTTTCCAAAACCCAGAAGGGGAAAGAAAGAAATTGGGAAACTTCTGTTGATGGGAGTAAAGGTGGACTGCGTCGCCAACTTCATCCTCCTTCCACGAATAAACACATGGTTTGGTATAAAAACTTTGAGCTTCGTATCAGCCAAGAAGCCGCGCTACTAATTTACGTGATTGTAGAAGTCCTACCTTTAGAGGACGAATCTAGGGAGCGAGCGTGCTTGAGTTTAATAGAGACAATAGTGGCTTAGCATCAACGGCTCAGGAAGTCTCTCTACGATTCAATTTCTCTATGAAGACAAAGATTCTAGGTGTGGGAAACTTTGATTCTGGGCTACCTTTTGAGGCAGATTGCATTACATAGGATAGAGCTGTTTGTGCGGGCACGTGGTGTTACAACTACTGGACAAGCAGATCGGTCTACCATTAAAGATCGAACATTATTCATCTGAATGATTTCATAGTGATACATGACTCCGATATTACATTTCAATGTTTGTACACGCAACTCTATGATTTCCCCATCTATGGCCGACCGGCCCGATCCCAGAAGCCAGTAGCTGTGGAAGCGTCGGCAGCTCGATATTACTCCTGACACCAAAGCGCCCGCTGTAGAATCCCAGATGTCCAATCGCATACAATTCGTGTCTGTTTTTCTTTGTCTCCTGCTCTCAATCAAGCCAATTCTTGTTCCCGCCGCGCCTTGGCAATAGCGCGCTTCCCCAGCCGCGTGAGCTCCGCCACAAAATCGTCCACAATTTTGACGTGGGCGACCTCGTGCGGCGTCAGGTGGCGGTTCCGCATGCTCTCGACGAGTTTCGGCACCGAGTTGAGGAGCTCGATATCTTCTTCGGATTGGGGGTTCAGTGGCTGCAGGAGGAGATTGCAAAAGATTGTGAGGATTGCTGACATGGGGTAGAAAACCACCATCCTGGGCGTGTCGACGTTAGCAAACAAGTCTGGGTTTTCAGATAATCCCAAGCTCAGGGGCCACATAATGAACAACTCACCAGAATGCCACTTGTTCCACGCCGTGGATGGCTGCTTTGAGGAAGTAGAGAGTAGATCGACTGGCCTGTACGGAGAGGGCCTGGCTTGAACTGACGCCCTCCAACCCACTGCCTTCGCCGCTTGCCCAACAGCGACATCTTCCACTTGATCGGTGTATCATTGCCATCAAGTAATGATACTCGAAATGGAGAATAATCTCCTCCATACTCAGCCGTCCCTTCCTCACGACCGCTGTGCCCCGAGGGAACGTCAACGTCGGCCTGTAGGACGGAGGAACCGAGGTCCTCCATCGCTCGAGCTCGTCGTCGAGTTCACGGATATCCCTGAGTAGTTCTGCGTCACCCTTCTTCAGGGCCGACTGCGAGTACAACCTCGTTGAGATCTGAGACTTGATAATTGTCAACTGCAGGGAGTCAGGTGCGAGGGCCGATGTGATTGTTGCCTCGTCGAAGAAGGACGGTGAGCCGCCCGTGAGGTCATCTATGCTCCGGATCCACCAATCCATCTTTGGTAAAGTCAAGTCGCAATGTTCATCATTGATGCTGGGAGGTTGCCCTGTTCGAAGGGAGATGTCCTTGTCGAGCTTGAAGGATAACCAGAATAGTCTGCGTAGTTGGTTCCTCACACGTGAGGTATGGTCGTCCTCAGCTTGAGGCGTCTGGCATGGAGTGGGACGGCTTGATCCGGGCTCTAGGTGTCCGCCAAGCATGAACAATACTCGACATGTGGCGGACTGAAACATGGCACCCTGCTGCAGATGGCCGCAAAAGAGGTGATACATGCCCTATGATAAGAAGCGTCAGCAAGGTTCTGAGTTGCAGATGCGACGAAAAAATAGTGCTTACTAGCATGAAGACTGTCTCGAGGGCAGTGATGTTGGTGCCCTGCAGAATGACTGCGACCAGTCTCTGGGCGGCACCGGCACACGCCTCGCCATCAATCTCGGGTGTTGAGTTCCATTCTCCTTGGAAGAGAGAAACGACGGCAAAGAAGGCAAAGACACATGCTTTGGCCGTCACAGACTCAAGAGATGGGCTACCATTAGGTTGCTCATAGGCCAGTTCGATTGTCTCTTGGAAGAGAACAAAGTCGATTACTGGAAACGACAAGCCGAACTGGGATGCTCGGAAGAGGGCGAGATACTCTTCAACAACTGTCCTATCAGGCAGCTCTCCACTAGCATTCCCTTCCGGGAAGTCTATAAAGATTGGCACTGGGTGTTGTGTCTGCCACAGAGGTCCCATACCAAATAGGGTTTGGAACGAGGCATCCTCTCCAGCCCGAGAGCGGATCCACTCTTGGCCGTCGGCAGAAAAGAAGGGGATGCCATTGTAGGAGCTGACATCGCCCAGATAGTAACCGGCAAAGTGCAGCTTTCCCACGGTTGCGCCGGAAGCAGCCCGGGCTGATGAGTCATAAGATCGGCCTTGGGTTGTGTCCGGATTACCGTCGGCGGCCGGCGGATCCGGGCCAACAGTCGACATGGGCGCCGAGGATGACGATGGGGATGCAGTGGATTCGTCCCGCGGCCCTCCCCCCTCCACCCCTGCATCTTGGTTCCGCCGAGCCGCTTCTAGGGCCTTTTCTATACGGTTGAGGCGTTCAACTAAGTCTTTTTCTGATCCCGCCCTGCACAGGTCGTAAATCTTTGTATTAGTCTTGGCCGCTTTCCCATTGCACAAATTACTCAACCATCCCGAACGAGTGGATACCTTTCAGGGGTGATCCACGGGAACGGAGACGGGGGATCGGAGGGGCGGAGACTCTCTCTTTCTCTCACCTCGCTGTAGCCACACGCTTCTTCACCTTGGTGGCCCGGTTGAACGTGCAAGCCATTCCATGGTGCTTGCACCAGTTGCATTGTGGGACTGCTCCATCACACTGAATCTATCAAAGTTGGAAAAAAACACAAAAGATCAGCATTGTGTATGCAGTGTGAGACGGCAACTCTTCCCCAACTCTCAACCTGAAAACGGGCCGGAAATCATACCTTTCGCCTGTGACAGGAATCACAC